GTCATCAGATCGATTTTAGTGACCAAAACCAAAATTACTTCATGCTCAAAATTAACATTTTACTTCAATTATCCACAAAATCAAATCCTTGATGCAGAAATCTCTCTAAAACATCGAGTGACTAATCCAAATCCCATCGTTCTATTTATTTCTGCCTCGCCAAACTTCCATTAAAATTCATGACATCCACAAAACTCAAGCCTCATTCAGATCTAAACTATAGCATCCATAAATTCCCCCAAAGCTCTATTTTATTCACAAAAAAAAAAAAAAATATTCAACAATTTTTCGTTCGCAAAAAAATGTCAATAATTACAAGAATGAAGTATCAGCAACGGTACGGAGGCAACAATGGAGGAAAAATTATTGTCACGCATATCCATAACATACGGAAAGCTTGTGAATCAATTAGATTTTATAGGCCATTAATTCCATTTGCATTTCCTCTCTCTCACTCTCTAGCTAATACCTCACACACATATATACAGCATAGGCATCCCTCCATCTCACTCCAAACAATTTTCCCATTCAACAATAAATATTTATTGTTTCGTCATCATCGAATGCAACAGATGACCATTTAATCCATTATTGTTTGTTGACAGAGTGTCGCACATGTGCGTATTGCAAACTACAAATATTTTTTTGCAGTAAATGAGAGTGAAAATCTCTTCTCATGCACACATTTTTCCAGAATGATGATGATGATGATGATGCACACAAGTGCCGAGACGGATACATTCTAAATATTGAATATGCATGTGCTTTTTACCGATGATTGTCAGGGAAAAAAAAACATTTTCATTTTCATTCAGTTTCTCAGTTTTTCTCACTTTATGTACCTCATATATATATATCTCATGCATTCAGTTCCCCCTCATCATCATAAACATTGAAAAACATGTGATGCTAGACTTATACATAATATAATATTTATATATAGTCATCCACAACTCATATTCAATAATATTGCATTTACATGTCATGCAATTCATCATCAATAATAAATAGATGTTTCGCATAGTGAGTTTTATGATCAATTTTATGTGTCATTTATTGCTTAATTTCTGTACTCTTTCTCGCTTGCTCGTTCGCTAACAGTAATGTAGGTGAACTCACGGCATGATGCATACAAAAATAAATAAGGAAAATGTCTTTAAAAACAGTTTTTGTTATCATTTTTTTTTGTTGTTGTTAAGTTTTGCCTGGCGGTGAAGTCTTATATCAGTGAGCACTTTGAAGATTATGTAGGTTAAGGTTTCAAAATTAGGATTGTAGCCATACATTAGGAGCATGATCATATGCCAAAATATATTTATTTAAGTGGTTTCGAATCAAAATTCACATTATTATAAGAGTAGCTAAGGGAAGCTAATAGTAGCTACTAAGGTTAGTTAAAAGTAGGTACTACTTGAAGCTAGTAAGGAAAGCTACTAATTGAAGCTAGTAAGGGTAGCTACTAATTTCAACTAGTAAGGGTAGCTCCTTAGGTCAGTTGATGAGAGCTACTTAGTGTAACTTGAGAGTGGCAATTTAGTAAAGCGGCTGTTCACTTATTACGTAACGCGAAAAAATGACTTTTTAGACCCCCCCCCCCCCCCCCCTCGTAACAAAATTTGTATGAAAAAAAAATTTCCTTGTTTGAACCGTAACAAAATCTTAGACCCCCCTCCCCCCCTAAAAGCGTTACGTAATAAGTGAATGGCCCCAAAGCTTAAGAATATCTACATAATTTAACTAGAGAGTAGCTAAGGGTAGTCACTAAGTTCACTAATTAGTAGCTTTTCTCTCACACTTGCCAATCCATAAACTTCCTCTTAAAACGAATCTTTATCTCTCAAATGTTGAATAAATATTCCCAACATGATCATCATTCATCAACTTCTTATTTAAAAGGTAAAAGAGAAACGAAAAGTAGAAGAAAATCCACAACAAGAAAAGAATTGAAAATTGAATAGAACTTTTATTTGGTACAGCAACAAAACATTTCGTTTTTAATGTTACAATAGGAGAAAAATAAGAAGGAAAATGCTTCTGTATGTTCAATTTTATTTACGCTACTATTTCAAGTTATATAGTTTTGCTAGAAGTAGCTAGAAAAGCACATAGATGCAGTAAGTAGAGAAAGGGAGAAGAAAATTATTTATCTTGACGTTTTCGCATTATATAATTCTCACTTTATGTGCTTTCTATCCGACTTATATAATATAAAAGAAATGGAAACGAGAAGAAAATACAATCAACAGGTAGAACCATGAATACTTTCTACAAACGTGCTATACAGTTGGAAATATTTTTATATTTTAAAGTTTGTCTATATTTTGATATTTTTTTTTTGTGTTCTGTATGAAATTTTATTTATTTTCCTCACATTTTTCAATGAAGAAAGAAAATATCGAGAAAAACTTTTAATGCAATTTTTTTTCACAAAATGGCAGCAAAAATATATTTTTTTCTCCTTTCGTAAATTGATGGAAGTGGAAAAAATGAGAAAATTTGTTTATGAAGATTGTGTTTGCTTCCTTAAATGATGATAAACAATCTCGTGTTGAAAATGAGCGGAAGGATTTTAAAATTTAAATGAGAAGAATAAAAGAAGAAGGAATTGGAATACTTTAGGGATTATGGAAACTATTTTCAGCTCTCATTTTTTGTGATAAACAACCTTGGGATTGTTTTTGAAAGATGCTTTGTTTTTCACAAAATGCACTTCAGTTGGATGGTTTGTTGTTAAGATTATCAAAACCCAAATTGGATTGAAAAAGCTTAATAAGACTTACTGAATGGAATTTTTCGTCAAATTATTTTTTAAAAAATATTGCAAATTCTTATTGTAGAATGTTTTGTAAAATTTTCAAGATCTTTGAATTTGATTCAGTGAAATCTAATCGAGACTGTTCATAAATGACTAGGATGAATCACAAAATTACGAATTATCAAATTAATATAAATAAATAAATCTTTCTTTATTTCAAATTTGGAATTATTGTAGTTTAAGTTACATTTCTTTGAGTCTTATTTTGACACCAGCCTGAATATGGCTTTAATTCAACTATATCTTGATTAATTATTAATTTTGATGAGTGAGATTTACATATATCATTAAAATGTGGCATAAAAAGTTTAAAAAAAGTTGCCGAGCGAGAAAAAAAAAAAAAAAAAAAAAAGCTTTTTTTTTAAGCTTATGAACTACGTTAATAAATTATTTTTGAACTGGCTTGTTCGGTGCTGGTGGGCAGCTCATGAAGCCATACTTCACCATGATTTTAAATGCAGTTCCTTGAGGTGCATCCTTTGGGATCTTTCCGGCTTCGTCTACGAAACTGCAGAACTGATTTATTGCTTCTTCAATGTTGGGGATTCTCTTTAGACGTTCTTGAGCTTCTGTGAATTTCTTGAAAAGGCTTTCATTCTTTACTGCTTCGTTGAGTTTCTCTGCATAACTGATATTATTGATCAGTTGTTGCTGATTAATCTCTTCTTTAAATGTTGCTGATGAGTTACTTGCAGCATTCACTGGATGTGAATGAGCAGAAACTTGATGTCGTTTGCTTAACGATGGAAAATTGTTACTGTCCAAAAGACTTGATATCTGTGGCAGCATTTTGAGTTGTGGTTTGGCTCTTGACTTTTCGATTCTTTTGGAATACGAAATGAACGATGGGCACAGTCTATAACTGGCAGCATGATCGCCATTGCAATTAATGCACTTGGCATTTCCATCACGAGTGGATCGTTGACATTGATTTGGTCCGTGAACTTCCGTGCACTTGACGCATCGGAATTTATATCCACAATTTTGAGATGAGTGACCCCAACGTTGGCAGTTGAAGCACTGCGTTGGGCTTTTGTTGCCCTTCTTGATGTTCTCCCACTTGACGATGATGTTGTCGATGTTCCGGTGGTTATGATTAAGCACGTTGATGTTCACACTTTCATCTTGAAAATGCACAAGATAAAAGGTGAACTCGGGCTTCTTGACGAGAATTGTCACTTTGACAGCTGAAACCTTGGCTTCTTGAAGTAATCTTAGTACTTCATTCGTTGGTGTTTCGTAAAATCCTTTCAGAACGAATGACTTTGTTTTCTCCGATTTCTCGGAGAAGGTGTGGAATTGAATAGTTTGAGACCGCAGAAGGTTTATTATTGAGGCCTTATCCTCAATAGACTTGACAATTACTTGAGTTGTATTTGATGATGAAATTTTATATGCAGGCATAACCTGCAATTTCAATAGTGAAATTAATTTTCTCACATCCTTGAGACTGCATTGCACAAATATTGGCTTGACTGAAGTTGTTGTTGTGACTGGAACCGATGATTCCTCTTTCTGAGGCGTTTGCTTCCTCTTCTTGGAATTTTCATTAGATTTGCTTGAACTTTCGTTCAAATCAATTTTTGGCGACAAATCTTGCTTTCTTTTGGCTTTCCTCATTGTCCTTGAGGAAAACACAACCCTTGGCACTTACTTAGAAGGTTTTTTCAACTAATAACGACTTGGACACTTTAATTAATTTAATAATAAATTTTCCACGTTTTTGTGCGCGGGGCTTGAAACTTCTCTAATATAAATAAAACTTTAATTTCTTTGAATAAAAAGATGTAATACATTTTAAAAAAGTTGCAATCTAGACAAAACAATTTCATCATGTGCACTAGACACACTGTACTTCAATCAATGCCTAAATTATAGCAATTTTCATATTTACGAGTTTTATGAAATTTATGGGAAAATTTCACAGCTTGTAAAAAAATTTCATTTCATAAAAAATTAAAATTAATAAATCATAAATGTCGCCATATCCAAAGTGTCAAAAATCTGACGTAGAAAAAAGCAATTTCGTTCTCAGGATTTTTTTTTTGATGATTTTTTCCCAACTCCTGCCATTGTTGCTATAACTCCACAATGCCAATTCTCCCAAGAGGGAGAGACACACAGAATAGTGGCAGTAAAAATTTAATTGAATCATTTATAACAATTTTTGTCTATTTTTTTGCAGGCTCTGGCATTGCTGCTGTTACTGTTGCCCACTTTGCAATTCATAGTGAGCTTCATAGTTTGAGTGAAAAATAAAGGAAGAAGGTTTTATGTCATAATAAATTACCTCACACCATCCTGATATGTATAATAGCTCAACACTTACATCGAATCATCCCTATCGTAGTGTCTATATGTATATATGTGCATAACAACATTCAGTAGCATATACACACAACGGAGTTAAGCTACTGCACATTGGAGACGACGTCAAAAAATGATTAAAAAATAAATGAAAAAAAAAATTCAATATATTTGGTGTAAAATTTCCCAAGCAGCAGCAACAGCAACAGCAGAAAAAAAAAGCTCTTGAAGCGAAGTACACAAGCCAGCAACAAACAAAATAGATTGCATTCGAGGCGTCTTAGTGTCGCTATCCAACGATATGACACATTCTTGCTAAAGTGAAACAGGACAACTAGTCAAGTGAAATAGCAATAGCTAGTTGAAGGTTCTTTGCTCATAAAAAAAAGAGAAGAAGAAAAAAAAATTAAAAAATACGAAAAAAAGTATATAAAAAAAACTACACAAAGAACCCGGAGAGCTTTCGGACTTGCAGCCAACAACACACAAAAAAAAGTTGTGCATGAAAAAGAAAAAATCTTCCGAAACTTCGGTTTTTTAAGAGTGGGTGGTAGAAGAAGAAAATACATAAAAAAAAAATTCGAAGCAACAGCAACAACAACAACAAAAGATATCAGTGATCCAAAAAGACGGAAGAAGTGTGTATACATGGACAGAAGAGAGCACATAACAATATTTTTTTTGTGGAGCTTTTTTTTTCGTCCTTCGATGCACATCACGAAAAAAATAAGCTCACCACCACACAAGTGCTTGCATATAGAGCATTGTGAGTAAATAGTGGACGGTAGGATGAGACACGAGAGATACTTTTAAAAAAATTAGTGCATTTATATTATATATATGCTGTTGAATGTGAAAAAAGAAGCAGAGTTGCCAGAAAGAACAATTTTTTTTAAGCGAATATTATTTAATAGAGAACTCCTTTTTCCCTTCAAATTGAGAAAAAGCAGCATAAAAAAAAACTTTTTTTTTTCGTCGGGATTTTTCTATGCTCAGTGTTCATACTTTTTTTTTTATTTCGGTGTTCGTTGAAGCAGAGTTTCCGTTAAAATATAAAATAAAAAAAAAAATTCGGGAGTTGAATGTGAAGTACACTTGTAGATTGACTGTCCAATTTAGTGGAAGAAAGTATTGAGAGCTGTTCTGATCAGAGACATAAAAAAAATAAAGTTAAAAACAGTTGATTTTCAATAGAAATAGAGTTAAAGACAAACAATTCTTGTGAAGTCACTAGTGTCGATGTCTATAAGTTGAACTACATTATATACACATTTATTGGTGAAGAGAAAAGGGAAAATTAAATAAACGAATAAACAGTGAATGTAATCAAATGTATTTATCATCATCAATGCCAATGTTTCTGCAATTACTTGTTGCATCGCACGATCCTGTTTACAGGAACTGTTTATGTGAATTTAAAAACGATTTGAATTTAATGAAATTAGACAATTTTAATCGTGTTGTTGATGAAAAATTTAATTTAAAGACAATTGAAAGTTTTGATTTTATGCTTTTGGACACTAAAAAATGGCGGATTGTTCTTATTTTCGTTGTGTACAAGAGCGACGATTTGTAAAGCGTGAACTTCAAAGGTGGTACAAGAATATGGTTTATATTGTCGGTGAGTAATGCTCTCTTTTTGTCATACTTATTTATTATTATGAGAAATCAATAAAACATTTACTGGCTCTTTATGGTCATTAATGCAGCATTTATATTTTTGTATCCTTGACTTGCGAGATTTAAAAAAGAATGTTTGAAGAATTCTTAGGAAAGCTTTAATTATCTTTTAATAATTAGATCAATAAAAAGATTTTTAATTATTATCAAAAGGAAATTACTTCCTTAATGTATAGTTCAATAAATCACATTCCTAGAAATACTTAACGGTTTTGAATAATTTAAAAAATTAAATATTCAAATTTTAGCTTTGAAGTCAAAAATAGTACAAAGGGGGTTGAAACTATGAATTTTGAAAAATTGATGTATTTGTTTAGGCAAGTTTGAGTTTGTTTTAAAAATTCGTAGTTGCTTCCCCCTGTAGCAACAGGTCTTGGTACAAAGTCAATTTTCCTACTTTTGTAATGCAATCGTCAAGTGTTCTATAAACTGACATAAAAAACAATTAAATACAGCTTTACTATCCCAAATTGTTGTTTAAACAGCAGACAAACGGTTGAATTAGCAACCCCCTTCGAATCGCAATCAAATTATTTTTTTTTCATCACCAAAACATCATAAAAAATCGCTTTCTTCATCAATAATATTGCGCAATATTCGAAAACCTTCATCTCGACTTAACTATAAAGTGCATCCATTTGAAGCAGCAAATAAAAAAAATTCTCCCTTGTTCCTTATTTTTTTTCCATCTCAACGCCAAAACCAATCTTCTCATGCCCTCATTTATCTCCCACACTAAAGCATCAGTGCATACACAAAAAAAACTTTTTTTTTTTATTCCACAACCCTCACTCCTGTCTCCTCCAACTCCTCGTACTGCCACAGCTGCCTGTTGCTTCAAAACTATTTATTTCTTACGTTCTGCATCTCTTTCCCGTATTTTACAATTTTCATCTCACTCGGTATATATGTACAGCATACACAAAAAAATAAACGAGATTTTTATTTTATATATTATTTTTCCATGTTGTTTGCGAGAAAAACCTGTTGCCGAAATAAAATAACAACTCTAGAGTTTTCTAGCATTCAACTATGAATAAGCGAAAGTCCTATTTACAAATGAAATTCCGAATGATGTCTACAATCTCACACTTCTATCTGTCTGGTTATTGTCTGCCGAATGAGGCCCACTGCCGAAAAAAAAATTACCTCACGATGTTTTTTTCACTCATTCTCTCGACTTTCTTTACCTCCTCCTACCCATTCTATTCGTTCTGGCCTGATAAATTTAATTTTTATCGTTGACGCTTTCATATTTCGCATGGCATTTTCCAGACATGAAAATTATAGTCACCGAAAAAAAAGGCAGTTAATTCGTTTCTTCCTTCGACTCTATTTTTTTTTTATTCTGTAAAATATTTAAGAGAAAGAGAGGAAAAATTCATATATCGAATTGCAATATAGGAAACGACAACATAAACATTTTAATCGGGGTGATCGAACTTTATGTACTCTTTTTTTTCGATGGTAAAAAATATCGTATCCTGTGGTGATTCGACATGAAATTGAGCGAAATGAAAAAGAATTCGTAGAAAATGGCTTGAATTTTTAATTTGTTTTGTAAAGTCGGGCTCCTTGAGGGTTCCTTTCGTAAGGATGTGGAGGGTATTATGTAATAAAATCGATTGAAAATTAAAGAGTTGAGGTATGAGTTGGCTCAGAGGTTTACTGATTGATTCACGGTTGTTTTTATGATTTCAAAATATTGAAAATTGAAATGATTGAGTTCGAGTCTCATTAAAACTAAAAGCTGTAAAAAGCACATAAAATACTTAATTGATTGCTGATCCGACATTAGTCATGTCAAGCATTAAGTTTCTCATTCTAATAAAAGTTCAAAATGAAAAAAATGCGTTCCTTAATGTCAAAGCGTTAGATCCTGCCTATAGATTATATGAAACATTATATAGAATTCGGTCATATTGATTCATAACCTCTGATAGTTAAATGATAGAAGCATCTAATCAGAAATCAAAAGGTGTGGGATCGAGTCCTACTCAAAATCTCAACAAATTGCTTAAAGATGGTTCATGGTTGCAAAGAGTGTAAATTAAATGACATTAAGGACTTAATTCAAAATTAAATCTATGCTTACAATTTAAACATCCAGCAGTAATCTACAAGCTAAACCATCCATACCAAAAACCCATCCAACCTATATAAAATCACAAATAAATTACCTAACCTACAAAATTACTCTTCTTTTGCCCCATAATGACCACATTTTTCAACCATGACGTGCTCATAAAATATTAATGTCTACAGCACAAGAAGAAGAAGAGACAGAAAAATTCTCCACTGGATACTTTGAAATTTAAATCCAAAAGCTAACAAAAAGAATAATATCCCAGGCCTTTTTAAATTCATTCCTCGATTCATACCTCTTCTATATCAATTCATGTAGAAAATCTATAGTACAAATAGCAAAAAAAGAAGCAACAACCAGAATACTTTTTTGTGTGTACATGCTTGCTTGGCGTACATAAAAGAATTATATCGAGAGTTTTAAAATTTGCGAGAAGTAAGAGATGAAAAAAGTTTTTGCTCTCTGTGTGTCTCCCCCGTAGCCAAAAGAAAAAAAAAAGGATAAAAGGATGCAAAAGCTGAATACAATTTTTTTTTGTGATATTCCCACCTTCATCTCATCCCTAATCATCCTTAATGCTGGAAGAATAAAGAAAATAACAGTTGAGATATAAATATGAGCTGGGTGGACAGGACAGGGAAACTTATGAATTTTTTTTTCTTCTTTCATCCTCTGTTGCTTCATTTTTTTCCTCTCCTTTCTATCTCGTTCCACTGCTACCGAATATTCAGCTTTTGCTCTGCTGTATTCTCGAATAAAAAATTTATTTTATTTATAGCACGATTTTTTAATGGAAATGTGTAGTTTTTATTGGTGTCTTGTTGTCTAATGGTCTCTTTTTAATTGGGTTTAGTGTATTGATGGCTTGTGGAAGTAAGATATTCTACAGAAGTTAGTGAATATCAAGAAAGGAGTTGATTCTTTGGGATTCTGTTTTAATAGAAGTTTGGGGGGGGTCTCAGCCTCTGGAAAAACAGTAAAAATCAGAAATTTAGAAATAGTATTACAGGAACCAGAACTAAATTTGAGTAAAGACTAGTTCGATTGACATCTTACCAAAAGCCTCAAAAATTCAACTCCATGGCTTTTCAAACTTACTTTTTTCTCATCCCGGTTCAATGTTCTCATTTATGTCCTTTGTTGGCGTTTTGTGAAGAGGAAAAAATTCATTTTTTGTGCTTGCTCTGTCTCATTTTTTACGGACAGTTGACAGTTGGGAATGATGGTGAATGAATTTTTTGCATAGTTTTTCAATAAATCCAGAAAAAAAATAAAATTATACGTCTCATAAATGTCCATTAAGTATGGAGTGCATATTTTTTTGATAATCTATGGATAGATAGGAATCTCGTAGCAAATGCTATTCTTATCCTTTCTCTGCATTTTTCCTCAAAACAACCAGTTGAATGTGAACTTCATGGTTACGACTATGTATTTATATAGAAAGAGAATGTTAAACTTCTATTACGGAGAAGCCACATCGTCATGCACACACATGGTATTTGAACAACAACAATTCTAATATGTACATATATTCCACCCTATTATGTACACTAGTTTCTCATTCCCCATCTCGTATTTCCTCAACATCCCAATATCTCCGGAATCTGCATGCTGTTTGTTTGCAACAAGTTGGTGGCATTAAAATTGTGTGTTGCAATTTATCCCATTTTTTTAACTTCCCGTTTTTTTATGATTGTTATTTTGTTTTTAACAAGAACTTTTGAAACTTGTTTGTTGTGGAACATCTAAGGATGTTGGGTGTCGGATGGTGTCTTGGTGTGGGTGGGATGTGGGTTAAAGAGTTGAATTATTGAGGTTAGGGTCATTTTTTGGAGTGTTTTTAAGAAGTTTTGATATTTTAAGGATGTATGGGTGGTCCGCAGCTATGGAACGATTTAATGGCTTCATAATTGGGAAAAATGACGAATCAAATATCAAAGTTTATGATTAAAGTCATTGATGGTCCAGCCAGCATTATTCTTTTAGATTTAAATAATTTTTTGGTTCCGAAAATTCAAAATAATCCCTAAAATAGTTTTTAGAACCCCAAAGAACGCCAAAAAATTCCCGAAACTATCAAAAAATAAACCCATCTACTAAAAATCCACTCCATCAATCACCTCAAAGCGTCATAAAAGTCACAAAGCAGTTCAATGACTCAAAGAGTATTCCAGATGCCTCACAGGCTCAAAAACTTCACAACACAGCCTATAGGCATAAAAGTTGATGCGAAAAGAAAAGCTCAATGAAAGCTCTTGACACGAAACTTTTTTTTTCATATTCCTCCATTGTCTTACCCTTGATAGCGTCGTTAAGCTGCAAAGAAATTTTTAAATTATCGACGAAAAAAAAAAGAATCGCCAACATATATGTACTGTGTGCTTCTTTCGAGGAACTTAATACAATTAAAATAATATTTATTTGTACTCGAGAAATTCTCATCAAAGTGCATGCGCTCGTCTCTTTTCTCATTCTCTCATTGAATTTTTTTTTATTATTATTTTTTTCTTCTTAAAAAAAATTCCATCGACACTAGACGACGACGACGTTTGAGTTCTTTTTTTTCGGATGCGGGGAATAATTTTTCTTCTTCTTCTTTCTCGCAATTGTAATTGTGCGATAGTTGTAAAGGAAAAAAAAAGTCCAACAACAACAAGAGAAAAAAAAAGTTTTCCGATCACAGACACAAGCATAGACTTTTTTCTCTCATTTACATGTGTCTGTGTAACGTCGTTCAAGTGCAAATGTAGTTGAGCACACAAAAAAATAAAATAAATACATTCGTATTGCACTTCGTGATCGTGTGTGCAATTTTTCTTGTTTTCTGTGGAAAGTGTGTTCTCAGTCGCGAA